AAGGAAAAGGTTTTCACATGACTCATAATTATGAATCATCGGTATGTGATTGTTTTGTACATATGACTTATTATGTTATCATTTATTATATTTCACACATGACTCAATTATGAGTCATTGGATGTGCGCTTGGCAAGTACACCTTGCAAGTATGCCTTATAGGTATGCCTTGCACATATGATTTATATGTTGTACATGACCTCACTAATTAGGTTATGGGTTTCACGCATGTGACCATTTGAGGTCATATAACTTGTGTATTGCATTATGATTGGTTTATGAGTTTTCGCACATGGCCTTGCTACAAGGTCATGGGATTTGAGTGTGTGACCACTTTGGTCATATGACTAGTTTGTTATGATTTGGTTTCACACATGTGACTACTTTGGGTTATATGACTTAGGGCGGGAAGAGTACTATATAAGGAGGCCGATACAGCAGAGAAGAATAGGCTCTTCATGCTTTATTTTAGGTACTTTTCCTACTTATTACTTTAACAAATATAAAATACTGTTATACTCTTTATCATTATCACAACCTTTATTACCATTACAATGAGAATACTCTACATGAGATAGAGTTCGAAAAAGCTTACGATAGGCATTATAAGTAGAAGACAAAGGTCTATCTGTAATGTAGGTATAGGCCTTGTGCTATCATATAACAAAGAAGAAGGAGACAAAGAAGAGAAGTGTCATTTCCTGTCACCAAGAACTATCTATCTGAAGGGGGATTATTACAGGTAGTTCTTTTACCAATATTAGCCCCAAGCTGAAGCATCAATAGCTCCGTTCTCTGTTGCTCACCTCTTGCCCTTTCTCTCTCCACTTTCAGCTCTTCTCTCTCCAATTCTATCTCTTATTGTCGTTGTTTGCCTTGCTAAATAAGATGCCAATTTAAAAACTCAAACTTCATTTCCTCCCCTTCTGCCTTTGCTAATGCAAGTATGCCCACGGCTTCAATAAGAGCATTTAACCCACTTTTTCTCCTTCTTTGTGTCCCACTAAATACCCTATTATTATCATTTTCTGCTACTAACAATTCAGCAAATTGCCTCTTTCTTGCTCCTCTCATCACTGATGAGTGGCTAGAGCTAGCCCTTTTTATTCTTTGTGTCTTTTACCTTTCTCTATTATCGTCCATAACTACCACCTCATCTTTCTCAATTGACCCTACAGCCTCTTGGCTTGCTCGACTTCTTTCTCCTTGATAAAGACTACCACCATTCTCTTTCTCCCTTCTATTACCTCCTGATATTCCCTCCTCTTCCTCATTTCCTCCTCTCTCCATTCACATTCATTTCCCCAACCCCTCCTCGTTTGTTCTTGTTCCTCCCTCTCTCAGCTAATGCTAGCTCCACTTTCCTCCTCGCATTCCACTTCCTCTCCTGTACCCTCCTGACTAATGAGTAGTTGTTGGCCCTCCACTTTCTCCTCCGGATTATCGTTGGACATTGCTACAAGCAATTGTTCAATTATGGCAGCAGTATTATTTGCATTATGATAGGAGTCATCAGAGACTGGTGGTCGTACATTAGGTCAATCACCTAAAATTCTCTCTAAACCGAAGAAATATGGATAGTGGGAAAGTAGCTTGTCTAAATTTTTTTTCTTTTTTTAAATTTTGTTATGTTATAAGATAATTTCTTGAATTTTAAAAGAATAATTTTTTTTCTTACCTTGTAAACTTCTTCTGCTCTCATCTAAGTGCCTCTCTGATAAACCCCATCCACTTTGATTGTTTAATTTTACTGCAACCCAATAGGATTTCATGAGATTATCGTACTTGTAACCAATCTTAATAGCTTATTTGGTGGGAATTTGGGCTGCGATTTCAGTAACAATTGTTTTCTTCGTAGTTCCTGAACCCTTTTTGATTTTTTGTAAATTCTCACACTCTTCAAGCCATTGAATTACTCTCTCGGTTTCAGCTTTTGTCCAAATCCTATTCTCAGAATAATTGTATAGTATTTTGGTAATGGGGTTGTCTGATCTTCTTTCCTCCAGTGTTGTCATCTTAGTACATGAAAAAGTTTCTTCTAAATGTATGTTAACTTTTACCTATACTTGTTACTTTTTATTTTTTTCTGGAAATTTAGGGACCTCAACTATGATACTAACGTGCCCAATTGGGAAGCGGGCTGACATGCCGAAGCGGACGGCACCGTGCAGGATTGCAACTACCACATCTCATCAACTAGAAGCCAACAAAACATACAATAAAGATTATCAGCGAACATAACAATAGGAAGAGTAAAAGCCAGAAAGAAGTAACTTTTAAAAAAGAGGATCTTAGATGCAATTCAAGCATTTTGGAAAGGCAATTACCTATCAATAACAGCAACAGCCCAAGCCTTTGACCTTTTTAGATTGACGCTCAGGCATCGGATCAAAGGCAAAAGAGTCTCCCGACAGGCAGCCCATATTGAACAGCAACTCCTGACCCCAGTAGAGGAGAAGGCAATTGTGCGCTGGATTAAGAAGCTAGATGATTGGGGGTTTCCTCCAAGGCTAGATAGGGTGAAGGGAATGGCTAAGATGTTGGTAGGAAAGAAGAAAAAGGGGGTAATTGATACAGGAGTCTGAAAGAATTAATTAACCCAGTTCCTGAATCCTAATCAGAATATAGCCTCACAATATAGCAGTTCTCTGGAACGTCAGCATGCCTATGCCAACCATCCAAATAAGATTAAAGACTATTTTCGCAAATTCAACCATCTTTGCATAGTTCATAATTTGCAGCCTCACCATATATACAACATCAATGAGAAGGGATTCATGATGGAAATATCAGTGAAGACAAAGGTCATCACCCGAGTGGGGAGACGAAATCCCAGAGTTACTCATGATGGTAAAAGAGAGCTAATTACTGACTTGGAAACTATGTGTTGTGATGGTAGTTTTTTACCTCCTTTTCTTATTTTTAAAGCAAAAGCAGGACATAGTATGGGATGGTATGCGAGTCTTGATGATCCAGATGTATTATTATCTTATTCAAATAAGGAATGGACTGATGAATCTCTTGGGTATGAGTTTATTTCTTGTTATTTTATCAAATTTGCACATTCTCCTTCTTTATCAAGCCAAAAGCGGCTTCTTATTTTAGATAGACACTCTTCTCATCTTAATTGGAATTTCTGCATGTTTTGTTTGGATCATGATATTCTTTTACTCTGTCTCCCCTCTCATTCTACTCATTTACTTCAGCCCTTGGATGTGGCAGTCTTTAGTCTACTTCAGAATTTTTATGGGCTTGCGGTAAATGATTTTTCTCACCATCAAGGAGGTGGAATACATAAAGCTGCCTTTTAGTCATTGCTAAAAAAGGCCCGAAAGGAGGCAATGACTTTTAATAACATTCAGGCTGGATTTCGTACCTGTGGCCTTATTCCTTATTGTCCAAAGGTCATCCTGGATCGTTTACAATTTTCAACTGCTCCACTTCATGCCACCCCACTCTGTATATCAAATATTACTTCCCGCCTACAAACTCCTCACAAAAGCACTGATTTCCGGCGAGAAATCAATAAAGTCCTAGCACTTATTGAAAAGGTTTCTAACGAGAAACTAAGAAAATTGATATCCTGTTTAGCAGAACTTGGTGTGATAGCGCAAGCCAGCTTTGATATTGCTAAAGAGGAACACAGACTTAACTGTCAAAAGACTATTGCTGTTACGCAAAAGATTGATAAATGTCATCTTACAACTGTATGGGTTATTGATAGCGTAGAGGCTATGCATTTATACCAAATTCGAGAAAAAAAAAATCACGATAAGGCTACTCATAAAGCCAATTTGAACCACAAACCTACAAAAAATACTCCTATTATATTATTTCGGATCATACCAGTACGCCAACGCCGTGTGAGCCTTGCTTTACCAACTTCTCCTGGATCGATTTCTTCTTCTCCGGAAAATATTACTATTACCAGTGATAGTAGTGATACAACAGGATTCTCACCAACTTTACCAACACCTCCACCTCGCCGCTCCTGCCAACCTCCTCCACTTGTTCCCCTTGCTACTCCTACCAATAGACGACTACCCACAGCACCCTTTAGAATGGTTTTACGAAATCCAAATCCTTAATTTTTGTTCCTCCCTTATCTTTTCTTTGTTTTGTTGTCTTTTTCCTTTTTCAGCAGTTCTTGGTAAATTCTCTTTTTTCATTATAAATTTTCAATGCTAAACTCTACCTCATAATTCTTATCTATTGATCTCTCCTCTTTTTGTTCAATTTCATTAAGAATTGGTTGAATTGTCATGTTTTCTGTGAGGGAGTCCCGGTGGCCCGCTTCATGGTGATGGCCCGCTTCGCCGTTGGGTACGTTATATTTTCTATGATGCTATTGGACCATCACCTTCAGTAAACTAATGCATGTTCTAGTATCAACTCATTTCTTCTCCCATCCGTTTTTAACTTTGAATACCACTACTGTACACCTAGTTACTCGCGTATGATACAGCACTTGAGTGGTGGGGACATGCAGTGTACTGTACTCGTACAATAACTGTACGGTACTGTGCCGTTAAGAAACACTTGGTTTCCCTATTCTGGTGATCTCCGGAAGGGGAGAAATGATGCATGAGGAGGCCCCCTTTCACATTCGAGAGAGTTTGTTGCAGGTCACAATCGAATAGTGGTCCATCACATCTCACTAGTAACTTATCATCTACTGTATTACTGTGTTTCTTCACTCGATAGCGTGATATGTAGGGGTGATGGTGCCACTCGGCCCCCCCGTTCTTGGCATTGAACACTAGCGATCATATACTGAACGGGTACCGGTATCGTACTCGAGTAGTTAGGGCCCCAAATTTTCTTTCTTTGGACTCAGTGACCCGACCTTCTCAAAAAGCTTAATTCCGGGAAAGAGAATATATACATACACATCCCTCTTATTACACAATACACAAACCCGGTTCTCCCTCGGTCTTCTCTCCTACACTAACTAATTCAACCCAGGAGAAGGGAAAAAAAAAAAAAAAAAGAAGAAAAAAATGCCTTCTGCGAAATTGAGTGTTCCCGACAGTCCTCCTCATCATGGAAACGTGCCAGAGCACGCCACAAGCGAGCCGGAGAGCCCCTTCGCAAAGCTAATCTGGAACCAAAAGATAATCGTGATCCCTAGCTTCACCCTCGAATCCGGCGTGACAATTCACAAGGTCCCCGTGGCATACAAGACTACCGGTCACCTGAACGAGAATGCCGACAACGCAATGCTAATATGCCACGCCCTCACTGGCAGCGCGGATGTGGGGGACTGGTGGGGACCCCTGGTAGGCCCTGGGAGGGCCTTCGATTGGAGCCGGTTCTTCGTCGTCTGCTGTAATAGCCTGGGGAGCCCTTACGGGAGCGCTTCGCCCTGCACTATTAACCCCGAGACTGGCAGGATTTATGGACCAGAGTTCCCGCTGACCACGGTTAGGGATGATGTCAATATCCACAAGATCGTGCTCGATTACTTGGGCGTCAGGAGCATTGCTGTGGCAATTGGAGGCTCGATGGGCGGCATGTTGGTACTCGAGTGGGCGTATTTTGGAAGGGAGTATGTTAGGTCCATCGTGGCGCTTGCTACTAGCTCACGCCATTCTGCCTGGTGTATTTCTTGGGGGGAGGCGCAGAGGCAGAGTATATATTCTGATCCAAAATATGGTAGGAAAACAATCCCACGACGTGTTTGATGTTGAGTTTATCGAGTTCTAGCGGAGGGGTATTACTCGTTTGACGATCCTCCCACTACGGGATTGGGTGCCGCACGGATGAGCGCCTTGTTGACGTACAGAAGGTTTGCTTCACTTACATCTAGAGCATGAGCAGTATCAACATTGACCAAACAAACCAGTCGCAACTCCTTCGAATCCCGATTCGGCAGAAACACCCCTGACCCTGCCCGCCACCCATACATCAACTCCCAAGCCAACCGTCCCCCCACAACCCCAAGCGAGGGACACTGGGCCGTGCACAACGAGGGATTCCGGAACGCCCGTCGCCTTATTTCATCCCCATCAAGCCCAACCGCTGAGACTTTCCCGCAATCACAAGAAACTAACACCACCTCCAGCAGCAGCGGCGGCAGCACCCCCCCTTCCTCGCCAGTTAGCCTACCGGCCAAGAAACATGTCCCAACATACTTCTCGGCGCAAAGCTACCTCCGCTACCAGGGCGACAAATTCGTCAAGCGCTTCGACGCGAACTGCTATATCGCCATAACCCGCAAACTGGACACTCACGACGTCTCCCGTGGCCGCACGAACGGGGACGTTCATGCCGCGTTGCAGATGATACAGCAACCTGCGCTGATAATTGGCATAGAGAGCGATGGATTATTCACCTTCGCAGAGCAGCAGGAACTCGCGGAGGTTATACCCAATGCTAGATTAGCTACCATTGATTCGCCGGAAGGCCACGATGCCTTCTTATTGCAGTTCGAGGAGGTCAATACCCATATCACAGGCTTCTTGAGGGAGGTTATGCCTAGGGTTATGGCCCGGGAGCCGCTTTGTCCCGCGGGTAAAATTGGAAACAGGGATATTGGGGCTGTGAATGCTGGGACCGTCGGGGAGGTGGACGATATTACCGCCTGGTAGGATGGCTTTGTTGGTTTGACAGATGGGGGAAATTCTCTCTTTTTCCTTTTCTTTTTTTCTTTCTTGGCAACGCAGGTTTCCGCTTTAGCTTTTTTTATCGCTTTGCTGTACCTTTGGCGGTGAGGATAAAGAGGGTGTACGTAGATAGTCTGGCGTTGTCTGTTGTCTGTCGATACCGGGAGCTGGTTTTGTGCTTGGTTCCGTTCGTTGCCCCGAATTTGAATTTGAATTGAGGAAAAGGTCCCGCATATCACTTCCCCCACCTCCCTGTTAAATATGCCAATCCCCCACTTAACCTACTATTACCCGACACTACCAATTAACAGCCTTCCCACCCTCCCTCCAATGTGTTACTATACTTGCTTTTTCCAAGTGCCCTGAAACCAATTCAAGAGTTTGAAACTGTATCCTACCGCACAAATACCGGTATGATAGCATGCATTGTGCACCTTGAGTATTTTAAGAAGACCCACTATGATAACGGCCATGACTGCCCCCATTGATTCATTTGCCTTTCCTCGAGTGAAAACATGTGCATGATAACGGGGCGTTTATGTTTTGCCGGAGTTGGATAGAACATGAAATATATTCTGCAGGGGGGCTCCCTGCCTTGTTGTCGGTGTATGATATATCACTCTATATGATCTTAGATGATGCTCTGGACAGCCCCAATGCAGCATCTTGAAGCCGTAAACAGACTCTTGGAGCCAGATTTGGTTCCATGACCAGACGTTCTGTATGCCCTCGGAAGACATCTTTTCACCAAGTAGAAGAACCTCGCAAACCCCACAAAGGGCAGCTTTTCACACACCAAGCCAACTTAAAATACCAGATGTCGACATACCCTATGGTGCTTCGGGCCCGGGTGCCGGCGGGATCCCGCGAACCCCAGTACAGGTAATCTTTTTCTAAAAAAAAGCATATTTTTCACCAAGTTAGGCACCCCACGAAATCCATAAAACTTGTATTATTATTTTTACACCAAGCCTGGGCATATTTATGTCGAGTTAAATGCCAAAACACAAGCAAGGTCGTATTGTATTTTTACACAAAGCTGCCATAATATTATTATTATAAAGAATATTCTTCACCAAGTAATGCACCTCCGGAAAACCCATACACCAAGCCTAGGTATTTTTTTATATCAAGCTAGATACCCCCGGAAAATCCCATAAAAGTTGTTGACATGATTTGTAGAATAGACGCTCCCAGGCCATCCAGACGGATTCTGATTAGTGCACCTTGCCTGATGGAGGGAGCAGTACGGTAGAGCGGTCTCAACCCACCTATTGCAGGCCGACCGCGCGATACAGATCCCTCTTGAGGGAGGCCGGTAAGGAATAGAAGAACTTAGACCCCCCAGCCCAAGACCACAACAAAAACCAGTATGGGTTCTTTTTTACAACGGTCTTGGATTGGGGGATGGCCGTCTGGTGTGGGGAAACTCGGGAAGTTTATACAGAGATTGAGGTGGATAATAGGGGTGAGATTACGGCTGCAGTGCACCCGAGTACGTATTTGAATAATATGGTGATCGCGAGGATGGGCGGAGTGCTTGAGATTTGGAATGTGAAGACTAGGTGCGAATTGGTCCATATCCGTCCTACATTGCGCTTTGCTAATGTCTTGTGATTTTTTAGTAAGAAGATTTACACCATCCTTTCACCGGTAGCTTCCACGGGGAAAGAACCACTAGAAATTGCTTCTTTAGTGCAAACGCAGGCTATCTCTGTGCTTGCTATTGGGTTTTCGACGGGTGAGGTTCATCTTCATAATATACAAGCCGACTGGCCTCTGTTTACGCTAGGCGGTTCTGCTGGTGATATTATTGCTGCTACTTCTCATGGTCAGAAACGAGTTACTAGCATTTCATTCTGCACTGGCCCGGCAGTCGGTGCTGGAAAATCAAGAGTAGCAACTGATTCTAGGGGTAACATGCTTGCAGTTGGGCACAATGATGGCGACAGCACATTGCGAAACTTGAAAAAACGTAGAATCGCAGCGACTATGCGGAATGCTCATGATGGGCCGCTCGGTGGGGGCGTTGTTGTCGACTGGGTGGCTGGACAGAGTGTCCTAGTTACGAGCGGTGGTGACAATAGTATAAAGGTATTTTTTCGGTTTTTCGGTTTACTTCGTCTAACAAAGCATTTACTTACGGATTTTTAGGAATAGATTTTCGATTCTCCACATACTACGCTTCCCCGTGTATTACGTTCCCGGTCTGGGCACTATAAACCCATAACTTCTCTAACGTTCCTGGATCCTCCACTTCTCACTTCCTCCTCTCTGGCTCACTTGATTCTTAGTTCTGAGCTCGTTCTATGAGAGATGACGCACAGTCATTTGTCTTCTCAGAAAAGGCCGGAGGTAGGAGGTCGAGGAACCCTCCGCAAAGTGGTGAAAAGGGCACTTGGGCCAATAGGGAATTTTCGTCATCAAACCCAGTAACCTGTATAGCAACTGTAATAGGTGAAGGTGGTGCCGGAAATGCAGAAAATGCGGCACGGGACCTGGCAGGAATAATAACAGGTCATCGAGACTCTAAATCCGGAAGTCTCTGGAGCTTTGAGAACAAGTCTTTGGGAGGGCGTTGGGCTCAAACAACTGATGGTGGGCTCGTCCGGAGCGCAGGTGTGTCGTCTTGCGGGACTTTCTGTTTCATAGGTTCTAGCAACGGTAGGATGGCAATGTATAATATCCAGAGCGGGATTAAAAGGCGTCAATTCCCTGAGCCAGTATCAGCCGCCACGGCGAAGCGTCTTAAAAATAGTACCGGGCCGGTGAAGTTGGGCATGGTCTGGCGCAATTACTAAAGCGAAGTTACACAGGCATTCTGATCTCCTCGCGGTTTCTTGCGATGATCTTTGCATTCGGGTGGTGGATATTGAAACCTGCAAGACAGTGAGAGAGCTTTGGGGTGCGCAAGGTAGGATAAGCGACTTTTGTTTTTCGAAGGACGGAAGATGGGTATTAGGCGCTTCGGCGGATAGAGTTATCAGAGTTTGGGATTTGCCAACTGGGCATTTGATTGATGGTATTAGGACTAAGAGTGATGCTACTGCTATGGCGTTTTCTGGGACTGGGGAATTCCTGGCGACGGCTCACGTTGATAGTGTTGGGATAAACTTATGGTGAGATTTGTTTTCCCGTACTTAACTGGAGTGGAGCTGACTCGGGTTGATGTTGGATAGGACGAATAGAACTTTGTTCAGACACGTTCCGACTAGACATCTTGATGAAAAGGACATAGTGGACATGACTGCTCCGTTCGCCTCTGGAGAAGGCGGTGTCGGTGTCATCGAAGCTGCACTTAATCCCCAGGGCGATGGAGAGGATGACTGCACCGGCACATACACCACAGTAGACCAACTGAGTAGCAACATGTTGACAATGTCTCTTATTCCAAGGGCAAGATGGCAGACGCTGCTTAACCTCGACGTTATTGAGGTAATTTCATCTTCCCCCCGCCCCGCAGCTTCTAGATAAACAAGTCTAACCTTCCATTGCAGCAACGAAACAAACCGAAGGAAGCTCCCGGGACTCCTGAAAAAGCACCTTTCTTCCTCCCCCCACTCGGCGTGATATCTGATCCATTCGCGCCAGCTGCCAAAGAGATAACCAATGACACCAACAGCATACAGCCGAGCGATCCCGCATCCTCCGCATGAGCCGGGACAGCGGGGAATCTACCTTCACAAAACTCCTCCACGAAGCAGCAGACGGCAACAATCGAGACTACACCGTCATCCTTGCCCATCTGAAAGCGCTCTCACCCTCGACAGCAGATCTAGAAATCAGGAGTTTGCAAGTAAACGAGTTGGTGCCGTTTGTTCGGGCCACGACGCAGCGACTGAGGAGCCGGAGAGACTACCAGCTCGTAGAGAGTTGGGTTAACGTGTTTCTCAAGTGTCATCCCGAGGGCGTGATGAGCGAGGAGGACGTTAGGGATGAATTGAGGAAGTGGATGGTGGAACAGAAAAGGGAGGCTGGCAGATTGGCGCAATTGGTGGGGTATTGCTCTGGAGTTGCGGGGTTTTTGAGTGGGAGGTGATATTTAATGCTGTTGATGGTCTGATATAGTGGAAAAGTTTGTTGTGTTTTTTTTCGTATCATAAGTGTTGGATCGGTTTTTGTATGTGGAGGAGGGGAAGGGTGTTATATTTGTAGAACTTGGTCGCCTTGAAATAAATCTTTTTGGATTCGGGTTGCGCTGTACTCAATTTGTCAGTAAAATCCTCACACCTTTGTCCGAACGTCGGAGTTTTTTCAAGCGTAGAGACTGTTGTGGTACTGGAAGATGGCGGACTGATGGTCGTAGGAGAAAATAGAGTACAGTATAATGTAACACAAGTTATGGGCTACGAATGAAGGTTTGAATCTTTGTAACTCCCGAGTGGTCTGGTAAAGACCAGAGGGTATCCTCTTCTCCAACCGGATATAGCCCTCAAATAGTGAGGGAGCACCAAATTAGGGGGTTGTAAAAATGAAGGGGGGGTCAGCGAGTTTTGTCGCCAAGATGGTACAATAATCTAATCTCTGAAAGTGTTTCGCCATCTTCACATATCATCACTCGTGAATCCAGCTTGTTTGTTCCCTCCTTCCGACCCTCGGACGCGTCACCAGAAGAAACTGGGGGTGGATAAAAATTGCCCTATGTCAGCTTGTTTGCTCCCCTTTCCCCTCCAATACTTCCCCCTCCAACGCTTTCCCCTTCTACACTTTCCCCCTTTACATTTTGACTCCCCCCCCCCACCAAAACCCCCGACCCCCCCCCCTACCGACACTAAAAATGGGTACCGGTTAGTACTAGGAATTGAGAAGTTTCAAAATATCCTGTTTACTAACTTGGTCTTATTGTATTTCTCAGCGGCAGGTTGAATGATAAAAAATGGCTCGTGGCTGACTACCGCTATTGATACGGCACTGACGTTAGCCAATACGTGGTACGGGCGATGGCGGGATGCTCGTAGAGAAAAGAAAGCCAAGGACCTCGAAAAGGGCTTTCTTAGTCCCACCGCTGCTGTCTCTGGCCCTGCTTCCGCTCTTGCCACTCCTGCCGCTGCTCTTGCAGGTTCCGTGGCTACTCTCGCTGCTCTCGCTGCGTCTCTCACTGGTCCCGCCGGTGCTCCTGCCGCTGCTCCTACTGTTGCTCCTCCTGCCGCCGCTACTGTTGCTACTGCCGCTGCCTCTGCCGCCACTGCCGCCACTGCCGCCGCTGCTACTGCTCTCGCCACTGGGAACGATGCTCCCGGCCCCGGTAACGCTGCTCCCGCCACCAGTAATGCTGCCCCTGCCCCCGGTTCAGGAATACTGCGGCAAATGCGGAACCATCAATGGAGGCAGGACGGTGGCTTTAAGCTGGCTGGCACCTATATCGCTAATCAGGACATCAAAGTCCTTTGGATTAAAGTCACCAATGTCATGGATATCGACGAATTCATGAACCCCCTTGGCATTGGACGCAGGGTTGTGAGTGAAAGTCGCGGGTACATCGACCTGTGAAGCCGACAAGAATCGAGCAATATTATTGTTGGTACGAGGACCCGGGTGCTGGAGCTGTGGTTTTTGGAGCCAGTAGGAGGTGCCTGCTAGCAGCCTTGTTCTGGACAGCTGGCGTGAGGGGCTAGAGGGGAGACCAATACCAAATTTAGTTCTGAAAACTGACTTGGCCAATTGGTGATGGAAGAAATTGAACAGCTCCAGCACTCGAGTCCTCATACCAACAATAATATTGCTCGATTCTTGTCGGCTTCACAGGTTGATGTACCCGCGACTTTCACTCACAACCCTGCGTCCAATGCCAAGGGGGTTCATGAATTCGTCGATATCCATGACATTGGTGACTTTAATCCAAAGGACTTTGATGTCCTGATTAGCGATATAGGTGCCAGCCAGCTTAAACATGAAATAGCTGATGTTGCAGGCATCCCGTACCATCTTCCGGCGAGTGAGCAAGAAGCGAATGCGGTAGTACAGGTTGGCAACTGCTTTATCTATGGACGGAACCTACGCACAATGTTTCCGGCTGCTTTGATGAATCACGACGGTAAAGCTTTTTGGGTCGTTTTTCTTGTGGACACAAACTCGCCCAAGACCTATCTCTCTGCTGAGGTAAAGTCTCCGGGTTCTTGCATGAAAATAGTAACATCTATCTAACTATAAAAAATCTAGACTAGCAACCTCTTTGGCATCCCAGCCATTCGTGAGGAAACACCAGTACGTATCCGGATTGCTGGATGGCAACAACTTACGTTCCGCGCACCCCAGTGCTCGCATTTTGTTAACATCAATATTCTCAGCGCAGACTTCCTTGATGCCCACGGGGTTAGCCTGGTGAATAACGCGAACAGACTAGAAGCCAAGTTGTTCTTCGATGGAAAAGCATGGAGGGTCTTGGTAGAAGGCGAAAAGTTGTAGTTCGTCCTCTGTAGGGTGGGACTGCTAATGAATTTTATTTTATTCTTTGTCAACTAGGCAAATTCAACTCAGTGCAATCCGTTGGGCAGTCTGAGGCAGTAAAATTCACTACTGGCACACTTATCCTGTTTTGGAGTCACCCAACCAATCCTACCTATGTTGTACCACACAGTAAGCAAACCAGCGGAACCCGGGCAGTCGGAAAAACAATGGATCCTTGGAAACAGATGTTCGACAGACTTAAAGAGCGTTTTGCCAGTATAGCTTCAATCAAAGGAAGACTTGTTATTCTGAAACTGTTTCAGTTAACAAAACCTCTTCCCGGTCAGCCCTTAAGTAGTTTTATCTCCAAGCTCCACTCACTCCAATATCCACTTGTCATCAATCATGCAATTGCCCACGAAATTTTCAAAGACCAACTACTAGGAGCACTACCTCTATCATACAGTTCATGAGTTGAAATTATACGGGAACGACTCTCGTTTTCGAATCCCCCCTCCCGATCCCGCCACCTTCACACCATGCTTCCGAGCTGCTCGAGGGAGTCGGCAGCCCCTTTTCCGTTGTTGTCGGCTCCCCCGCGATAACAATAAAACCGCCCGTGGAGAAATATGTTAAACAGATACGTGAGCAGTATGGTGACTACCTCTCCGCCGATCTGCTGGAGGGGGACGAGTACAGAATCTGCGAGCGGTACTATGGCTGCCCGACCCGGCTGCTGCAGCTGGACGAGACGCTTCACCATTCCCCACCCCCAAAGACGCCTGCGGAGGAGGCCCTATACACTCAGGTTTCCCAGCCAATCGCGGGCCCTGAAGGGGTAGGGGCGGAAGAAGGAGGAGGTGAGGACCTCCGTGCCGATGGTTTTCCTCGTCTCTATCGGACACACCCGCTCACTCCCGTCAGTCAGTATGCGTCGTCTCAGATTCAACTTCCGCCATCGGTAAGGGACCGGACAGAGTCTGTGATTGCGGATGTCGCTACTTCGCATCTAGTGGACTTGGCGCATAGGACTCTCGACGGCCCACATCTCCAGTTCCCGCCCATCTACGCAAGGAAACGGAGTAAGCACTAGTTGACTACCCCCTTGAACCCGATTAATAGTCACATGTCGTGTATGGGGAAATCATTTGGATGAAGAGATTGCTGCAGAAAATATTGGGTTAACAAAGGTATTGGGTAAAATAGCTGACGGTTTGCTGGTACAAGGAGGAGACAAAGAGCAAAAGACAGAGAAGGAGTCACTTGTTCAACTAGATCTGGAAGTGGGATTAGAGGTTATGGGTCAAGTTACCTCTATTGTATGGCGTATAGAAAAGATGAAGGAGAATCAGGAGGAAATTGATAAGACTTTTGTACAGGTATAGTCTAATACTGCAACTATTCTTGATTTATTGGGATCTGGTTCTGTTCCTTTTTAGTTTTCAATATCAATTTCCTCGCAAAAGTTCTCCAAATACAAATACTCTTCTACTAACAGTAGATCCATCCTGAACTTTTCTGAAGTCTGATTTCCTCCACGGAAACAAGTATGACGGGTTGTATGTAAAACTGCTATCATATAATAGGCAGCAACAGGGGAAAGGTGAACTTTCAAACCAGGTTTAAATGCAGTAAATGACCACTAGTTAACAATGTGTGCAAATCCCCAGTCTACTACAATTCTGTGCTCTGACATAACAACATTTACTGCTTCATCAACTGTTGTTATATACTCTCACTGCAATCGACCTATAGTTCCGAACGCTAGTGAATAAGCTGTATCATGATAGACATATAGTGCCTCATTATCTAGTCCCATAATTTTTGGCAGCCAGTCAGCTACACTTGAGCATTCCAACAAAATCCAATCTCCTACTAGGGCAGGAAATGGCCCAGCTAAGCTACTTAATAGTCTGTCGCATATCACAATACTCTGAAACTTGGTACCATGTGCCTTTTTAAAACCTGAGTAGAAGCTTCGCTGATCATAGCCCTAACTGTAACCGGTGCAGGTACTCGGTTATTGGTTTTGTTGAATAATTTGCTTTAAGTACTGCTTTGATACTTGGTTTGTTCTAAGTATTGCTTTGATACTTGGTTTTGTTTTATGATTTGTTTTAAGTATTGCTTTGATACTTGGTTTTGTTTTATGTTTGTTTTAAGTATCACTTTGATACTTAAATAGTTTTACAAAAGTGTATTGCTTGATACCTTTAATTAGATTCGTTCATACCAGACATGAACAGAGTTGTGTATTTAAAGACTCCCTGATTCCATGATGGAAGAGGTAGACTTTGACAGACAGTATTTCAATATACTTGGTTGAACAGTAACTTCTTTGTTCCTCAGTACACCCTTGAAGCCTCTTTTAGTTCTCAGCTCTTGTCCCCTCTCTGGTAGAACAGGCTACCTACCAACTATCATACCTATTACTGATAACATGACTAGCACCTTGCGAACAAGTTACATTTTTTTAACCTGAGCACATGGCTAAGAACCTGTCACCAGATTTAGGCCTGATCAATCTATCGACATCTACCTCAGAACGCTTGTAGAGAGAAGTAGCAGAATTACAGTACATTTGGCTTTGTCTCTATACCAACATAGAGTCATTGACAATCAGAAGTAGGAAGAGAATCCCACGAAAATACC